AAAACAGAAAATTAAAAAATAAAAATGAATTCTACATATATATATATATATATATATATATATATAGTGGTACTAAAATATCACTATTTAGAACTAGTGATGCATTGAAATTTACCGAAACCAAAATTAATTCAGTTTTAATTTTTAATTTAGACAAAAAAAAGTTAATGAATTAATAATCAACACTCAACACATCATTTTATATTTAATGATATAGTTATGTTTTCACTCCAGCTTGTTGTTGAAAGCCTTCTTATTTCAGTTTTAATATTAGTTATCAAATTAAATTAAAAATTATGAAATTAAATAAGTAATTTTATTGTATTTTTTCAGTTAATATTTATTTTATTTCAGGTGATGAAAGTGTTTTAATGGTTTTATTTTTAATTTTTAAATTGATTCGTTTTTTTTTTAGTTAATGATAGTAACCTCCTATTGAATAATAGATGATATCTGGTGTCATTTTTGTAATATAAAATTGCAGGATTTCTATAAACAGAATTTATTTGGCTATTATATATATTATATATTATGAATTTATCAGATGCTTTAATCCAAAGCAATTTACAAAAGAGAAGCAAAAGCAATTAATCAAAGAGCCAACAATATTTGTAATATACAATGCCAGGTTTGTTAGACAACTAGATTAGGATATAAATTAGATTAAGATGCATACAATATGCTCAAAACTGGTCTTTATTAATCTGTAAAGACGCAGGATTTTAGTAAGACTGTCTGTGACACAGGCAGCTCTCAACTCGGATGGTTCGCCTGATTTAATTCTGCAGAATAAATGGAAAAACAATGTCAATAAGTGAAAAATGAGAGTAGAAAATGATAAATCGTCAAGCATGTCTGTGCTATTGACTGGATGCAGAGAGCCGACTGGACTTCAGCAGAGACGCTGCCTTTCAGTAGTGCTAGAAACAGTGATTGCTTTACAGACTGTGTGTGTGTGTGTGTGTGTGTGTGTGTGTGTGTGTGGGTAAGATAGCATGGCTTTACAAAATGCTTCTGTTTTGTTCAGATTTATATGATTCAGTGCAAATGCATGTTGAAATTGCATCAATTCACAACGATAAACTCAAGCTCCAGCCTACAGGTTTGTTTCATTGGGAAATACAGAACTAAACTGGCTCATTATTGTAGGTTTTCACACTGGATAGAAGGATGTTTGGATAGAGAGAGGATCGATGGAGAGATAAACAGTGTCTCACCTTAATGTGATGAAAGTGTTTCCTGTTAATCCTCCTTAACCAGCTAAACCGTACTGACGTGCATGAGAACTGTGACTTTATAAACGTCTTTATTGTGTCTGCATGTCAGGTTGGTGTGTGTATTGATTGATCTCAGATTGATTGAAAATGTAAATGTTTGTGTTTTTGGGGAAACGGCATGTCATTTTTACTGCACGGACAAAACAGAATTAGTTTTTCTGTTGTGCTTTTGAAAGGTTTCACATACAGACGACAACCTGCGAAAACGACAAAAAACGCTGCATTATACATGCTCGGCCAGTAGTTGGCGACTGTGCAATACGCATGCTCGTGATGTCACCATTTTCACAAATTTGTGTTTTCGTAGTTTACAATAAACAATAACGGTATTGTTTTCAAAAACGTGCACTTTGAAGTCTGTTTTCAAACGTTCACATTTTCAGCCTCCCACGATTCCATTGTCGTATAAATCAGGGGTGCCCAAACTCGGTCCTGGAGGGCCGGTGTCCTATAAATAAACGGCCAAAACGCGTTTTGTTCATTGAAATAAAGCTGAAATAAAATAAGATACAAATATTAGATGAAAAATTAGAAAGCACTAAAATTGCTGAATAAAAAAATAAAACAAAATAAAAACAAATTGAACTTAGATCATATTTAAAAAGAACAAAAATACTAATAAAACTAATAATAATGGCATAATACTAACAAAAATGACATAAGCACATAACAAATGAAAACAAACAAATCTAATTCAAAATATTAATAAAAACGGTATAAATAATACTAAAATAACACAAGTGATGCTCAATGCTGCAAAAAACTTGTAAAGAAATCCGATGCAACATGACCAAATCTAAATGTAATGATGTGAATTGACACTTTTCAATAATATTCCCATTTCCTTTTAACCGCTACAGCTGTAATAGATTTAGTTTGTGCAGGGCCATGTCTTGCCCACTTACCGTGAATTAGTGGGGCATTTTTGTTTATTTTGGTGACATTTTTGCCCCATCTCACTGTTAATTTCCAACGCTATTTTAATATAATTCAAGTCAAGTCAAGTCACCATTATTTATACGGCACTTTATACAATACAGATTGTTTAAAAGCAGATTTACAGGAAAATAATGATTAAAAAAATTTGTTTCGTATGGCTGTTTATCCCTGCATATGTCAGTCTCGACAAACGCTTCCATTTCATATCTCGATGTCTGTGTTGTAGTGCAAGATTTAGTAGTAAAAGAGAAACGTGAGTGTGTGGGAGATGCGGTCAGTCCCAAAAGCAGCTCACTGTCATATTAGGAGCTGGAGAGGTCAAAGGTCAGAATGAATCCACCCCCACCTTGGATGTCATGATGTTTGATTACGGTTACAGGAAGTGGGCGGAGCAGAGCCAGTGTGTGTGTGTTTTCATTTGTTGTGAAAGCTTGCTTTTTTCTTTAACTATATGCTGTGCGTGTGCGTTTGGACGTCTAACATTTCCCAGGACGGATGAGTCGTCCCTCTGATCGTGACAGAGATGGAGAACTCCTCGGCGAGCGCAGAATTCAGCTCAAATGCATCCTCAGTCTGCAAACACACAATCACGTTAGCGCTGCGTAACCTCTTTACAAATACATGATCATTTTACAAACGTGACAGCGCAGACGCACTGCGCTTAGGCTCTGTCTCAAACCGGCTCCGCGCGTTCGCTCAGGACTCAGAATGACAGAGAAGAGCGCTGCAGCCTCTCAGAGGTCAAAGGTGACGACACCTGTCAGGCTCTTCTCTTGGCTCGGTTCTTCACTTCCTTTATTTTATCTGTTCTTGTATCACCTCATCTCTTCACATCTCATCTTTTGTTTTCTCTTCTCATCTTTTAGCTTCTCGTCTCGTATCTTCTCTATTTGTTTCTTCACTTCTTCTTCCATCTCTTCATGTCACATCTCATCTTTTATTGTCTCATCTTGTCTCGTCTTGTATATTCTCTTCTCTTCTCTTCTCTTCTCTTCTCTTCTCTTCTCTTCTCTTCTCTTCTCTTCTTCACTACATTTCTATTCTATTTGGTTCTGTTCTGTTCACTTCTTTGATCTATTTTATTTCTTTATATTCTATTCTGTTTAGGTTCTCTTCTTACCTCTTGTCTCGTCTGGTTGACTTCTGATTCTATTCTATTATGTTATCCTCTCCACTCCTCTCCTCTCGTCTTGTATCTATCATCTTGTCTCATCTCTTTATCTTCTCTTGATTTGTTTCTTCACCTCTTCTATCATCTTTTCATGTTACATCTCATTTTTTCTCATCTTTTGTTGTCTCATCTTGTCTTGTCTCTTCTCTTCTAGTCTCATAGCTTCTCATCTTGTATATTTTCTTCTATTTTGATTTGTTTCTT